AATATAAAGTGTTACAGATGAAAGTTTCAAAACTGATTTGAGAGAATGTTCTGTTTCTGACCTAGAGCAGAGATGACGTTGCCCAGGGTGACGAGGGACTTGTTGATGTTTCCTCCCTCCTTCAGTCGGACGCCCGTGGCTCCCGTGGCGTCGGCTCGCTCGCTGCCGGCCAGGTCCACCAGGTGGATCTTACTGACCGTCTCACTGGGCATCTCTGAATCAAACTTAGCCTAAACAAAAGACAGAGATTAGTCTAAAATGTGGTAATTTAAAATCACACATTTTTGGGGGGCTAAAAACTGTTAAAAACCTTGGTTGAAAGATATCAGGTTGAATTATTTCTGAATGTTTAAAACTGTTAATACCTTTCGACAAAGACTACTTATTATCTATACTTTCAGTCAAATACAAACAAGATGTCAGTTTAAGGAAATGTTGCAGAGCAGGATGAATTATGTGTTATTTTCTGCAGCGTTAGTTTTTCAATTACCACAAAAAATAAGTTTGTTTTTTTCTAAATGTGATCGTAGGATGGTTACATTACTCGCCTACGTTCAACCACCTGCTCCAGACTTCTTCAAACTGTTGTATTTCTTGGACACATTTCCTTTTTTTTTGCATCCTTATGCTGTTGTTTGATGACTGAGTTGTTCTCAGAGCAAACTTTACCAAATATTTAAGACACTTTTGTTTTGAGTGTCAGTCTGAGGTGTCCAGTCGCCTCCACAGAGAGAACCAACCCTCTGTAGGGAAATGATTTAATTTCCGGAGTCTGTTAATGGTTCCTGACCTGTGTGAAGTTGATGGTGAAGATGGCGTGCGAGCGGCTGCTGACGTCGTTCATGCTGGTGCTGGCGGTGGTGCGGTTGATGTTTCCGGCCTCCATCAGCTCCTCCACGTCGCTGTAGTTCTGCACCAGGTGTTTGGACAGATCTGAGACAGAAGAAGACACATGAACCAAAGGCAGAACAACAACATGTTTAGCAGGTAGCTACTTGCATGCAGATTGAATATTCCTACTCAATTTAAAGACTGTAAGATACAATTCTACAATATATCAATATTCCAATCGATGGATGGACTTGCACTATTTTATCTAGGGATGGGTATCGTTAAGGTTTTAACGGTACTACTACTTTTATCGATACCGCTTATCGGTCCGGTCTTTTAACGGTACTCTTATCGGTTCTTTTGGAGAAAAAAATAAGGTAAATTAACTAAACAAATTGTGAACAAAACTAACATTGCTTTTTATTTAAATTAAATACATAATATTTCACATCAAAAGAAACAACAATGTTTTAACAAATCATATTAAATAATGTGATGGCAGAACTGTAAACAGAATAGCTGAAACTTTAACAAAATAAAGAGTCACTCAGTTTCCTCTAATCACTAACCCATGTTTGTATAATTGAGTTAACTCCGTGTGTTGCTGCTAGCACATAACACCTGACGTGGAAACGTTACTCGTGGATGGGGCTACAGAGCTACTAGAAAGACAGTGGAACCCGGTGCATTCCTCCGTCTGAATGTGGTGCACTTTTGCTAAATGTTTAGACACATTGCTCGTGTTACCGCCCTTACATGCTAAACACTCTTGGCAAGGAGCATTGTCCACCTCAAGACGGGTAACATTTAACCACACCTTGGAGCGCTTCTCTCCGCCATCTCCTCCGTGTGTTGCTGCATGTAGCATCTGCGTGTGTGTAAACTGCCCCGCCCCCTCGCAAGCAGGCGGGGGAGAGAGATCTCTCGTCTGGATTGGAAAGATCGAAAATACTAAAAAGACGCATTTTGCATATTAGAAACGGAGTTGGCGACACTAAAACTGCAATATAATGTTTGTGTAGCAATAATACATATATTTTTTACATGTCTCCAGTACCGATAAAAAGACTGTTAACGTCGGAGCTTAACGGTACCACGGTCTTTAATAATTCAGCCCCGGGGCCCGTTTAATACCGGGGCTCGGTACCCATCCCTAATTGTATCTGTTTTATTGTGTTGCACTGTTAGAGGAGTCTGTGACCTAAGATTTTCATTGTCAAAACTACACTGTAGCTATGCACACATGACAATAAAAGCCTTGAATCTAAAAAATAACATCATTTTAAACTGCTGTGAGAACAAAAGACCATCCTGAGATATTCACTTTAACTTCCCAGACCATAAAGCTGACCTGAAACCAGACTACAGAAAGCGTAGAAATGACTTTGTTGTACAAAAAAGAAAAAAAGACCAACTCGTACTCACTAAATAACTAAAACTAACAACAACAACATTTTACTGCACTTTCTAGCCTTGCTCTGTAGTCTCACCTTCTACATACGGGCCGTCCTTGGGGTGCTCCCTGACTCTCAGGTTGTAGGTCTGAGTGGACTTCCTCCTCAGCAGGTCTCTCACCCTCTCGTTGTAGATCTCCAGGTAGCTGAGGAGATAAACCAAAAGGAAGACATGGCTTTAATCCCAATTTACCTAGAGTTATTTTTATCTGCTTTTAGTCCAAAGTGTATTTTTAGCCTCAAAGACAAAGCGTTTCATCCCGAAAATGACTCCTTCCTGATGCTAGTTAAATATGCTACCTGCTCCCTGTCAATCATTCTGTTTGAGAGCAAGAAGAAAGATAGGGGACGCGGTTATCGATCTGAGGATATAGAGGATGAAACTCAAGAGCTGAAACTGTTAGACGTGATGATTAAGTTATTTCACAGCAATATTGAAAATGTGATTTATAAAAGATGATTTCAGCAAAGATTTGGCACCTGTGTTTCTATTTAAGGTTATTGGAGATTGATGCAGCATGAGAGTTACATTTACTATACTGCTTTCCTTTTAATTAACAATAGTATTGGTATATTTAGCATTTTACCCAATTGTATATTTTAGATCTCTATCTATTCTGTAATGAAGTTTCATAATTGGTGTATTTCATTTTACTATATTTATGTTACGCACAAATATTACCAAAGAAAATAGTTTTAACCTGAAAGCCTACTCTGCAATAAGCTGGATTGTGAAAATGTGAGCAGAGCAGGTGTGAATCTGGCCTCACCTGACTTCTGCACGAAATGAAGCTTCATCCCATCGAGTGGTCGCAGCGATACGAGTGAACAAACCTTCACAGAACCTCGGGATCAGACCTGCGTCTCCCTAAAACAACAACAACATCAACAACACACACAAACGAAAATACTTCAGTGAGATCCTGCAATATCAAACACACAGCCAAACAACTACAGGCTGAAAAACAGAGACATGTTTGATGCCAGAGACATTTGGAAACATCGATTCAAATAAATGTGAGATTTATTTTCTGCAAAATCTCCTAAACCATATTTTCCACCATGAGGAGGATAAACATGTTGACAGTATGTATCAGACATGTGTCTTTAATTCCTTCTTACTATCTTCCATTACCACAAACATCTGTTTCTGATCTGAGTTTACATTACATGACATTTTACTTGTTAGACTTACATACTCAATACTGTGGGAAATCCCCACAGGAACAATTTGGGGTGAAGTGTCTTGCAGTGGGGTTTGAACCTGTGCCCTCCTGTTCCCAACACCAACGCACACCAACGCACTAACCCACTGTGCCACACGCCCCTATACATTTAAGTCGTTGATCAAAACTGTATTGAATAATATGAATACATGGTATTTATATAGCGCCTCCCTGTACACAACAGGTGTACGAAGTGTTATGGCAATTATGGTATTAAAGCTTAATACAGTGTAATCCTAATGAAATGTAACTGCTGTATCTTGGGAATGGCATGTAAATGTATGTGTAATAACAGATGTGTTCACAAAGGGTTTTATGACACTACAGGAAGGTAAGGAAGACATGTGCTCTAGGCAGGGGTTAGCTGTGACACACAATTGTTCTTTGTTGGGTGTGAGTTTTGCCTACTGTCATAGGGCAATTACCTGGACCACATGTTGTTGTGTTGTCATGTAAATTATCTTTGCTGTGTCCCTAAAAGAGTTGCTGTCACACACAGAGCAGCACGCACTCTGAACGAGTCGTCATGCTTGCAAGCATTAAACGAAGATTTTAAAAGACTTTATATCGATACTGTGTTTCTTTGCATAATTGCCTAACTCATCATTTTCTCTAGACAGCAGCTGATTTTAAGTTGCTACGACAGAAGTTACTGTTAACCAAAGGCACATAAATAGTAATCCCACTGTTTTGAGTGGTGAGGAGAACGAATATATATTTAAAACGCTGTAAAAAGCAACTCACAGGATTTCCCATCATGGTGTAGGACTTCCCCGAGCCGGTCTGACCGTAGGCGAACACGCAGGCGTTGTATCCTTCAAACGCCGCCCTCAGCACGTCAGAGCCCAGATCTTTGAACACCTGTGGAGAAAATGTGAGTTTTTATCTCTGCTTAGAGCTCTTTAAGGCTTCTGTCGCCAAGCCAACTGGTGCTCGAGATAATATAACAGGTTTCAGACGCAGTATGGATGCTGCAGAGCTGTAAAGGGACATGTCCGGCTTTGTTACTAAAAATAATCCAAAAAGACAAGGTTTGCCAAGCTGTATTAGACAGAGATGGCAAAAGTACACACATCCTTTACTCAAGTAGAAGTACAGATACTTGTGTTTAAAAATACTCTGGTAAAAGTAGAAGTACTGACTAAAGTTCTTTACTCAAGTAAAAGTAAAGAAGTATGGGCTTTGAAATGTACTTAAAGAGCCTGTGACAGCATCCCAACAACTGTTGTGCAATGAAATATTGGGCTACTAGTCATCTTGAAACGTCAGTTAAAAAAAAAGGTGCCGTTCCGATAAATACCAATAATTTCGAACATCGCGGGGAAATTCCTTCGACTCATTTTGAAGTTTTGGGGGAATCCGGAAGTGACGGCGAGAGAGCCAAACACGGACAAAGTGTGTTGTCATGCGTAGAAATGGTGAATTACTGAGTTTAGGCACGTTAATAACGTTTTAATGAAGTTGACTACAGTATATTCATATTTCTCAGTGCTTTCATGTCAATTCGGCGAACATAAACATAAATGATCGTGGTGAAGATGATGATTAAATTAGGATTAAAAATCGGTAGTGAGAGCTGCTGAATTTCCTCCCGTCGGATGTGATATAAAAACAAATCGATTATTTTTGTAGTTGTAAACTCAAGTGGATGAAACTACATTTATTAGTGCTTTCATGTCAATTCGGCGAACATATGATACATTAAATGATCGTGAGGATGATGATTTAAAAATCGTTTGTTTGAGCCGGGCTGCATTTCCTGATGAGAAAACAAAGCGATGCTTTTTGTAGTTGTAGTTAAAGGGGTGTTTTTTTTTACCACAGTGTTGGGGAAATTAATGGATAAAATGCACAGATTATTATTATTATTATTATTATTATTCCCACTCCGATCGGGACACTAGGTCCACCGTTT